AAACCCTACAGAGAGAGAGGTTTCATGGAAATTTTAGAGAAATTATATTTTTTGGTGGGGGGGGGAGGGGGTTTTGCTATAGGGCACATGTGCTTGCCAGAAAGAGAGACAGAAGAGGAATCACCCCCCAGGGAAGATGGCTATACCTCAATCTCTTCTCCATTCTCCTCTCGAGATCTTGGGCGCACACACGCCTGGAGTGAGTTTTAAGCCACCGGGTCTGGGACTTGAACCGTGGTCGACTACATAGGAGTCCAGCGACATAGCCATTACACCATCTGCTGGTCCCCAGACTTGGATTTTTAAAAATAATTATTTTTATTTAACTTTATTTATTCATTTGTTTGTTTATTTTAATTTGACCAGAGAGGGACAGAATGAGAGAGAGAGAAAGCAAGCCACCAGATCCAGGACTCAAACCACAGTCGACCATGTGGAAATCGAGCATCCTTAACCACCACGGTACCTGCCAGCCCCAAGACTTGAATTTTTGAGTAGCATTTACTTTTTATTTTTTTCCTTGTGGTAAAGTATATGTAACAATACCATTTTAATGTTTTTTTTTTTTTTTTTAACAGAATTTTTCATTTAACTGTGGGGCTCCTCTGGAACGTTAATGGGAATGTTACTTGGTTAATAATTTTTAATTCTTCAACCCTAGAGCCAGCCAACTATTCCTGTGACCGAAAACACTTTCGGTATGGGAGCTATTTTTGAGTTGTGAGTGCAATTTAATCTATTTCAGCTGAGTTTGCATATTGACCATTGAAGTAGAGATGTCCATTCTGTGTAGCTTCTAAGCACAAGTACTTGAAGCTAAGGTAGAACCTGGTAAGTTTATTCTGACAAAACTTGTAAGATCAGTTTATCTCATTACTGAGCTGTATATTAATTCTTGTTTATTTGGAACAGACCTAGAGCAACCTGTCATATTTCCTGGATGCCGGAGCTTTTTCCCCTTTATGTTTTAACATTTTGGAAATAAATTAAGTCATATATACATTATGTCATATACATTAAGTGTGTACTTTATCAAGCTTCTTTTATTCCCCATAATGCTATTAAAATTGCTGCATAACTTTTGTACCTGTAAAAATTTCTAGTTAACATTTCACTTAAATTTTGGAATAGGTAGACATGTTGTAAAACAAAAATTTGTGTTTTTTGTTTAATTTCAAACCACTCCTAAACCAAGGTAGCATTACTGTTTGACGTCACCCTCCCCACCCATACAGCCTTTGACGGTTTGGGTTTTTCCCCTTAACTGTTGTGAGAGGTCCCCCCAAAGAGGCAGGCAGTATCCCCTGGGAAATGTCAAAGAGCAAACAGGGAAAGGGAATTTCTCCCATTCTTTCTTCCCACAGTTTCTACACAGTGGGGTCTGGTTACGTGAGTGTCTGACTAACAGTCCCCTGGGAATTTGAGGATTGTTCCCTCCACCCCCGCTTTGAATTCTTGAAATTGGAAGCAATAGGTACTGTTAGGAGCACTGAGGTTACTTCAGTTGTGTTGCACGTTCCGCCTGGGGATGTCATTAAGGGTGTTAATGGAAGCCTTAAACAAAGACACTTTCCAGGCGCCGGATTCTGCCGTCCTGTAAGTGTGCTCTCTAGAGGGCCTATTCGTCGTGGGTTGTGGAAGGCTGTGTGACCTCGCAACAGCCTGCAATAATTGCACCATCTAGATCAAGAGGGCCCAGAGCCCCGTGACTTAGAGGAGAGTCCTTAGCTTTAGTAGCTTCTGCAGCTTCTCACTGCATCGGTCCTTAGGAACAGAACTAACAAAAGAAGTGGGGTGAGTAGGATTTTGGTGCGAGGAGAGGGGAAATAGAGAAAGCCAGCCACTGAGATAGTTTCATTTATGGGAGAGCCTCAGGAAACAGTTGATACTGGTGCTTGGACACTCTTAAGAATAGCATCTTTCAGTTGGCCCAGAATTCCTCAGGAAAATTGATTAGAAGATTATTGGCTTTTATCACCTAGATTGGGTATGCTGATTGATGGGTTGGTGGCTGATTGGAATGGGCATGAGAAGTTGGCCTGTTTGTATCTATATTCAAATCCCTTCCTCCCCTTCCTTTTTTAGCAGATTTTAAATAGGTGGGCATTACGAGCCTAGTAAGAGTTTGAAGGATTTATGTTTGGAAAAGATGAAAGCTCTTGATTGGATCTTTAGTTGTTGGATAGAATGTGTTTATTTAAGATTGTATGTGAGAAGGGTAGGGAGCAAAATTCAAGAATCTCACTTTCTGGTGTTGATAACCTGGGTATATTTCTTTAAAATGTCCTTCCTGATGTATTGTGGCAGTCGGTAAAATCTGAATGGAATCTGTAGATCAGAAATAGTAACACATCAGTGTTAATTTCCTGATTTTGATCATTGTTTTCTGGAGAAACACACAGGTATTTAGGGACATCCTATCTGTATAGTTAGGAAAAAATATTCATCATCTGTCTTATATATGTATTATATATTACTGTATATATTGAAGGAGAATAAAAATATGGTGAAATATTAATATTTAGGAAATCTGGGTGGAAAATATTACAATGATTATTTTCACTGTTCCAACCTCTCTGTAGGAAAAGTTCTGAAATTGTGAGATTAAAAAATAAAATTCCTCCTTTCTGTGTTAATTTCTTTTTCATGGAGGTAGTAGGAACTTCCCTTCTTTGAAAGCTGTGAATCCTTTTCAGTTCAGTTTTAAAATGCATTAAGTGAAAATTTACAATGTGTGTGTATTTATTTTTTAATTAATTAATTTTGGAGAGTTTTTTGCTATAGGGCGCATGTGCTCTCCAGAAAGACAGAGAGAGACAGAAAGCGAGAAATCACTCCCTCGGTGGATGGCCATGCCACAATCCCTTCTCCATTCTTCCCTTAGGATTTGGGCATGCACGCACATGTGCCTGGCGTGAGTTTAAGCCGCCAGGTCCAGGACTTGAACTGCGGGTCCAGCGACATAGCCATTACGCCAACTGCTGGTCCCGATGTTTATGTATTTAAAAATGCATGTCCTAGTGTCAGATCCCACTTTTAGTTAGTTTTTTTTTTTTTTCTTGGCCTTGAGGTATCTTTATTGTGAGAATTCTCTACCATCTTGAAACAGTGACATAAATTTTCTTTATGTGCCAGTTGCTGGGTACTTTTAACTAGATTGTAATTGAGAATTTATCTTATAAACTGTCTTTTAAAGAGGCAAATAACCAGGGCTAGCAGGTGGTGTAGTAGTTAACTTGCTGGACTCCCATATGGCTGACCACAGCTTGAGTCCCAGATCTGGTGGCTTAAAGATCAAGCCGGGCACATGCACATGTGTGTCCCAAATCCTAGGAGAGTGGAGGAGAAGGGATTGTGGTGTGGCCATCCTACCTGGGCAGTGATTTCTCACTTTCCCTTACTCTGTCTCTCTCCGAGTGCATGCCCCCTATGGCAAAAACCTCAAAAAAAAGTATAGAAATTACATTATAGTAGGACCAGCAGTTGACATAATGGCTATGTTGCTGTACTCCCATGTGGTCGACCGTGGTTTGAGTCCTGGACCCAGTGGCTTAAACTCACACCGGGCACATGTGCGTGCGTGCCCAAGATCCTGAGAGGAGAATGGAGGAGAAGGGATTGTGGTGTGGCCATCCCCCTAGGAGGTGATTTCTCTCTTTCTGTCTCTCTGTTTCTGTCTGTCTTTCTGGCGAGCACACGCAAAAACCTCTCAAAAAATAAAAATTACATGATAGTAACAAAATTGTTTGGAGAAGAGGGTTTCATTCTCCCTGTTATCTTTAAAGTGATTGTAAATGTGTTCTAGAAAGACATATATAAAATGACATATATAAGATGGCAGTACTTGTAAGAAAGTTGCAATATTTTATATTAATGTTAATATCTTAAAGTATTTTTTTCTTTGTATGTGGTGTCCTCCACATAATCTGGCCACACCGTGATCCCCTTCCTCCCGCCCATTGGATCTTGGGCACTGGCGTGTGTGCCCATTGTGCTTCTGGCTGATGAGAACAGTCAGACTGTGGTCGCCACGTGGTATTTGGCTTCTCTTGAGCAGTTCATTACTGTTTCACCATGGGCTGTCTCATATAACTTAGTACTTTTAAAAAAAATTTTGACTGAGGGTGTGTGCTCTCTAGAGAGAATCAGAAAGAAAGGGAGGCAAGCGAAAAAGCACCATGCACTCTGCCCCCCAGTCATGCTGTAATCCCTTCTCCTCCGTTTGCCCTCCTTTTGGGATTTTGGGCACACATGCATATGTACCTAGCATGTTTTTTTCAAGCCACTGGTTCTGGGACTTGAACCCCATGTTTGACCATATAGGATCCAGTCACCTTAACCACCCATGCCAAGACCTGTCTTAGTACTTTTTTTTCCCCTTAAGCTATAAGGTTCTCACGCTTGCCAGAGAGTGAAAGTAACCCTTGGAAGAATAACGATACCACAGTCTCTTTTCCTCCATTTTTTCTTGGTATTTTGGGCATGCATGCACACACATGCACCCAGCATGGGTCTAGCCACTGGGTCTGGGACTTAAACCACAAAGCCAGCCATGTGGAATATGGCGGCCTTAACCACCACACCACCACCTGACAGGCCCTTTGTTTTAGTGTTTTTATTATTTTGTTCATTTTTAAAATTTTATTTATTTATTTATTTATTTTTGGAGAGATTTTCGCTATAGGGCGCATGCGCTCGCCAGACAGACGGAGAGAGACATAGAGACAGAAAGCGAGAAATCACCCCCCAGGGGGGATGGTCACGCCGCAATCCCTTCTCCATTCTCCTCTCGGGATTTTGGGCACACACGCACACGCGCCCGGCGTGAGTTT